GCCTCTTGTCCTCTTACAAGAAAAGCGGTGTTGTGGACGACAGACCCGAGCTAGTTGTCTGAATGTCTCGAGCTTTTCGTTTCTTTCAGTCGTCTCAGCGAGGGCTTAAAGGGAAGGAACCGCGCATCTGCGATACACATATTGATGTGCCTTTCATTGCCCGTCATAAAAAAAAGGATAATACCAAGGGTCAGTAATAATCATGCAGCGGCGAGACATTGCATTACCATTACCATTGCGACAAATGGTGCTTAAATATAAGTTCGACAATTTAGTTGTAAGAATCGTAAATTATGTACGGTGCGAACAGCGAGCTAAAGGAAAAGCAAAAAAAAAATACAACCACGGACCACCATCGAAGCCGAGTCATTGACTAGAGGGAGGAGAATCTAGATGGCTTTCTCTCCACATAGGACTGGGGTTTTTCATGCCTATTAGATACTAGTTTTTTTATTTTGTTCTTTCTTGTTAATTAAACTGTCCATTCAATATAAATCTTGCTTAATTATTTGTTGCACAAGTTGCACTCCTACCTGAATTATAGCTCCTTTCCAATAATTTTTCATTCAGTAACTGACAAACTAGATAAGATGAGACTTATTTTATCATTCATGATATTTTATTACATACTATTCAATAAAAACAATACTATTTGGCATCACTTTTGTCCACTCAACACTCACTTTTTTCATCATTAACAACTGATGAAAAACTGGCGCGAGTCATCATCATTTACCTGTAGCGTGCGATGGACGTCCGCAGCTCAATCTAACTCTTTTGCATGGCCATATCTTTCGTCGATTTGGTAAGTCAGATTAACAGCCTTTTCAAGACAAGTCCTGGATTGTCAGCGTGAGCAACACTTCAAAAAATACAAATGTCAAACCCATATCACATCTCAGCCTTTGTAAATGAACTCAACGAGATTTTCCGTGCTGTTAGTTAATGCATTGCTACTACTATTCGTTGCTCTGTGACCGTAGTGATAAAGGTAAACTAGACTCTTGCTCACAGCCACTTGCTTCAGGCTACTTCAGCAGCGCTTGCTTGTAAGAATCTGCCGCTCACAAAACTCGTAAATATAAAAATGTTTTCTGTGGTCACTGGTCATACGTAAAAGAAATTGAGCAGTAATGTCGCCATTTTTTAGCAGCCTTTGTCTAGAATCTGTATAGATGCGCAAGAGAAAGCGCGTTGATTTGACAATCATTCGTAGGAAGATGCGGGGAAATATGCACTTGCTACTGGAAAAAGTCCGTCATCCAATAGCCCAGGTATCCACGGTACGTCGTAAGCTGTGCTATTGCTTGCCTTGGCATTGGTGGCCGACTTATCGTTGAATTATCCCAAGGCCACTTATGACTGGGATTCCGAAGATTGAAAAACCAAATAACAACACTATTCTATCATCGAAGATCAGTTAAAAGCAGTTCGAAGCAGATGCTTATTTTCGAGCACTCGATCACTCGCCGGATATCATTGCTAAATCATGACTCACCGGGTGCTAAAGTAGTGCCGCTCAGCGATAATCCAGCACGAAAGAATCCACGGGCTCCGTGGCGACAAGTATACAGTGGAAGTGAACGCCGAGTCAGAGCTTTAGCCTCTATCGACGTCGAATCGCTTGGGATCACCGCCGAAATTGGCAACGCAGAGCTGTCGATTGATCTTTGAAGCCGACCACGCCGAGATGAAGATCACGCCGTGGTCGACTTATGTAAGCTTATTTATTCGAACTCTTCCATGTGCCACTGACTGAAATTGCACTACCGTGGATGTAATAGATCATCGGTAAACCTTCGCTGGACTTTCTCGTTGTCGGTACGTAGAGACGTTCAAATAGTATAAACAGTCCTCCAGCCCGACTGATACATACTTTGCGCGCACCACTCTTTCAGCTTCACTGCGCTAAATTCGTTCGACCACGATTGCCCGATTGCTTCTGGCGACTGTCGAATGATCGCGCGTGTTGAAATATTGACAGATATAGTTGGTTTCCCAGCAAATTGTACTTGAAGTCACTTATCTCCGACAGGTGGTTCTGTGTAAGGTATTCTGGGTAAACCTTATATATGTTCCCATTGTAGGAAATCAAGTAGTGACCGTGGATTTGATCGGAGTTTATGGTCACTACGTACAGTGCATCTTCTTTCAATAAGTATCCATTGACGATGGGGAAGAAAAAAGTATGCATTCAATATGAACACTGATACATTACTATAGTAATTAGGAGACATTTATAAATAGTGGGGTTCAAAGTTAATGGAATCGTGCGCTCTTATCGCAAAATGTCAACCTATTTTTAATTAAAAATTATTGTTTCTTTTTTCAAAAATATTGACATGTTCTGCGCCGTATTATCTTCACTTTCAGGTCACATCATTGTATAACAATGATTTGGTGATTTGATGACATGTTTTATCGCATTGTACCTTGTTATAGTAAAATCATAACTAAGATGTTTTAAATTTGTTTCACAAGGTGTACGTTATCTCTCATTATTTACTTTGGTATATTAGCACCGATTATTAACTGGTTTTGTTTCAAGGAATAAAGTATTTTTATCGAGCTGATCGAATGTGAAACGATAAATAAAAAATATAAATCATAGAACAAAAATTGTAAACGAAAAAGTCATTTATATGTAAATACATTCTTATAATAATTCTGGGTTAAAATATTGTAATTCAATCCTTTTTTAAACCGGAATGATCTAGCAAAATAACCTTATAATGAGTTGAATTTGCTTAAATAAAAAAAATAATCGGAATGACCTGCTCTGTTATTACGGCGATAGCTATTTGCGGTTTCTTGGTATATATGAACTGCTTTTTGTGTAATTTATATACATATACGTTTGTAAAAATCAAAATTATTTCTAAATGGAACAAGTGGCTTTTTAAATTCATCGTAAAGTATTTTCTTAACATCGGAATAAAGCGCGTACATCTTTTGAAAGAAAGCTACATTGTATATATTTATATATATTAAATTTATTTGATTGTCACGACAAATTCTCGAATATCTTTTTTCTCCTTCTAGTAATCAAAGCGTCAGGCGAGAAAAAGGAGCATAGCGCACAAGCCAAAAGGCAACAAAAAAAGAAATGAAAAGGTGAACTCACGTGTCGCACGAATAAGTAAGTGAAACACGGACGCACACAGGACGAGTCGCTGTAGGTGAGTGGCGCCGTGTGGTACGATCTGCACGCGAGAAGGGGTGGTCGGTAGCGGCAGACAGCAAGCCCGAGAGACACAGAGGCAGAGAAAGAGAGGGGGGGGATGCAGAAATTCCCCGCTCGCCCGCCCGCGCTTTTCATTGATCAGCACCAACACGGTGAGAGAGACCGGAGGGCCCGATCCTCGTTTTTCCAACCGTATAGGGTCCGGTATATTTTATTTTTATTGGACTCTGTTGTTCGTTTAGCAATGGCTCGCTCCGATTTATATCGTCACTCTTTCAAACATCAATACTTTCAGATTGGAAATAAAGCGGGACTGGAATGTACTTTAGCTGCCGACGCTGTCTCTCGATAAACAACAATGTCGAGCTTTCAACGAGTCGCGGAAATATTCCGGTCGTGCCATTCTTATATTGTTATTTTTACTGCGAAGCTTGTACAAAGCGTATTTTATATTTTTGTATTTGAAAGAGTGACAATCTTACCCAAGACATTCAATAACGTCAGTTGAATAACGCCAGACAATTTGATTCCGCGCGGCTGACCAAAAGCTCTCCGTACTACTGACTACTCCATAAATACCTTATGTGGAAAGCAAACTACTATTCCTTTCAAACTCCAATTTTTTTGGACGGATAATGATGTTTAACACTTATATTCAGATTTTTTCACAAATCTCATTAAGGTTTCGTCTAGCGAAGAAACGGTCAGACTTGGTGCTTGCGTCAGCGCATTTGGCGAATTTCAATTTCCGCGATTCCACGGCGTGTAAGTTATTTCCGACGTTATTTCTGTTAATCATCGGATAAATCAAATAAAGGCCAAATCCAGTTCGTTAGAATTTTCATCTTTAAACAATTTTGGTGGAAATTTAATCGGATACAAGCGGCTGATAGTCTTTTGATCAACTCGACTCCCATCGTCGCTTAAAAAAAGCAAATTGTCAGTCACCAGGGGTATATGCCTTTCGAAAGAATGTGCATGGCATTCGCGTTGAATAAAATCTTGGCTTTTCGCGGAAATTTTTGACGAAAAAGAAGAAAAAAATGTAGGTCAGCTTTGTGTCAAGCCGCGTGTGTGGCTAAATTATATCACCCGGAATAATTCCTTGCGTCTTTCATCTGCAGTTCGACCTTTTCAACCATTTCTTTCTCCTTTCATCGTTTGTGAATGACATACGCACATTCGTCGCGATCATTATTCCTTAGTCCCCCTTTCTCCGGCGAAAAAGGCTTATCATTATGCGAAAAGTCAATAAGCAAGACAAATCTGAAAAAGATCACCCCGCGTCAGGCGCATAGTTTGCGTCGTGAGAAAGTCCAGCAGCAGCCTAGAGAGAGAAAGAGAGAGAGAGAGAGAGAGAGAGAGAGAGAGAGAGAGAGAGAGAGAGAGAGAGAGAGCGCGTTAGAGAAGTAAAAGAAGACATCTCTGGAGGCATTTGCCCCCATAACCGAGTGTCTCGTTGGCACAATGACGGCGTGTCGGTCAGGCAACAGCAGCAGCAACAGTAGCAGCTAGCCATATCGCGCTGGGGAAAGGGCGTTCGACTTAGCTTAGCTAGTTGTGCGCGCGCAGCAATCGCCTCCCTCTTTTCGTCCGCATTCGGGCGCCGCGAGCTTCTCTGTCTCTGTTCAGCGTTAAAATCCACGGACCGAGCGACAAGAGAGAGACAGAGTGAGAGCGAGAGAGCGAAGTTTTGCAGGGAGAAAGGAAGGGAGGTTCTGTCGGGGGTTGAGGAGGAAGAGGAGGGGAGGTGGGTGTTGAGTGCGCCATCGTCGCAGCGGCGGCCAGTGGTGTCGAAGCAGCAGCCAGCGGCCATTCGTGGAGTGAGGATCGCGACGATCGAGCGTTATTTTTTTTTTAACGTTTTGAGAGAGAGAAAGAGAGAGAGAGCGGGAGAGAGAGAGCAGGGGACGGTGAACGAGCGACAAAGACAGACGCATCGGGAAGGGGGCAAATCGAGGCAGCGCAACTATGTGTGCGTCAGTGGGCTAGCAATGGTGGACGAGGATGCAGCCAGCGGAGGTGCCGTCGTCCTCTTAGACGACTCGGCTGCCGCGAGTGTGTTTTTGTTGTGATATACTGCCGCGAGCTGCTCAACAATCCACGACAAAACAAGTACAAAGAGAGATAGAGAGTGAGAGAGAGAGAGAGAGAGCGGGAGCGGGAGAGAGATTCGACAGTGCCTGGTGAGAGGGAAGCACGTGTGCGTGTTGGTGTTATAAGTGTGCGTGAGAAGAGAGTCGCGGACGAAGAAGGAACAGCCGCCGCCGACGACGACGACGACGACGACGACCAACATGTAAGTTTTACTTCTGTGACCTTGTTTCGAGGAGAAGGCGTGCTGCTACGATTGATCGCACGCGCGCACGATATGGATGTCTGCCTCTCTCTCTCTCTCGCTGTCGCTGATCGATGGACGTGGGTTTAACACTTTACGTGTACGCAAGTATCGATCCATGATTTTTCCGCCGTTTTTTACGCCCCGAAACACCAGTGCGAATAACCTACATTACTTGTTTGTCAAGGTGAGCATGTAAACCCCCGTAACTATGTGCGCATGCTTGCGCGACGACTGTAAAGCATAATGTTGCTAGGTCCGAGCTTGACGTTAAACCTTCGTTCCTTCTTTTTTGTTGTTCACCCGCGCACACGGCGTTTGTGCTGCTACGGCTGAAAGGCAGATGATAGAGAGAGAGAGAGAGAGAGAGAGAGAGAGAGAGAGAGAGAGAGAGAGAGAGAGAGAGAGAGAGAGAGAGGAAAGTGTTGGGGAGTGATTTAGCGCTCGATATATCGTCGGATGTGTATATGTGGTGTAATATCGATTGGTCGATGGTTATTACGACAGTTGAGCGAGCACTTTCCTTTTTTTTAGAGCATTCAAATGACGACAAATTCACCGCAAATATAGGTCAGACGGTTTCTTTTTTTGCGATCGGGAAATAGTTGTGTGTCGATATTGATCCTGTAGAGCACACTGGAATTTTAGAAAAAAAAGTAGGTCGCGTCAAAGACAAACGATTCTGGAGCGCTATTTTCGATAAGTGGCTGTCTAGCTGGTGTTTCCATTGAAAAACAATTGAATACATCGATGTGAACGAATGATCGGCAGTCCTTTCTCGTAGTTCAATATAATGAAAATATAACAGTTCGACGCTCGCAGTCGCCCAAGTTTCGTCGTCGCCGTCGGCGGTTGTCATTGAAATCGATCGTACGACAAGATCGATAGGAATAAAAATAACACGACGGATAAAAATAAGCGGCGCTCGCCGAGTTGGATGAATTAAAAACTGGCGGGTCAGACGGATCCTGTAGCGACGCAGACGAGCTTCGAAAATCCCATTGCGACGAAGCCGCAGCGGGCAAAACGATACACGGACGGCCGGCGTAATTCGCCACGCTGTGCAATTACACGCTGGACGGGGGAGGACGACGATGAGAGAAAGGTATACGGCTGGATTGCACAGCTGATATTATCAGCCTCTTCGTCCTTTCTCTCCGCAGCGAGGTGACGTCCAGCGTCAAAGTTATAAATACGTTACTCGCGCGCGCAGAGCAACACGTTCGATGCGACTACTGCATGTGTGCGTGCGCGTGTATGTATTGTGTCCATTACGTAAAGAATGACGATAGTTCCTATGCTCGCCTAGTCAGTTTTGCATTTGGTTCGTCCTAGACAACTTTCTCTTTGAGCGCAGCACAGAGAAAGAAAGAAGGGTTTTCGCTTCGTTCTATTTAATCAAGACGGATGTTGCTCTGCCAGGTCTCGCGGATCTCCTTAATCAATTGCCATCCATTATCTGGCAGAGATTTTCGCCGTCTGTGCTTTTGACTTTCTTTGTGCTTGTTGGTCAAGCGTGAAAAAATCGTGCCGTGATAACCATTTCAGAAGAGCCAGCTGACCGAAGCGAACCGACCGTAAACAAAAAAAAACGATATTCTCGGCCCAAACAAGAACGTCAACAAACGCGACATGCGAACAGATTTTTTATATCGCTCGTAAAAGATATCTGCTGATACTCAACGGGCTCGCTGGTCGTCGCAGCGACGCGTCTTTTAATTTCGGACGAGCTTGCGAATCTGGGCTAATAGAGCTTGAAAAATGCAATGACTCGGGAGCGCGTGGAGGCAGGGCAAAATAAGTGGCTATAAAGCCTCCATAGCAGCAGCCGATAAATTTAATCCGCGCCCGCGACTGTTAATTTATTTCGCGTGACGCGTCGCGTCGCCTACGCGAGAGCAAAGCCACCCTCTCGCCTGCCGTATAACCATAATGCCTCGAGCTCACCCCCGCCCCACGAGCTAATGAACAAACAACCAAACGACTTTGTATCTCTCGATTCCGTGGACTGTGGATTTTAATGCGTGGGATGGCTTTTGCTGTATTTCACAAAAGCGGATGTACATTTTACATTTGCGAATCACACGTTTTGCATGACGTTGTGCGCTTCGCGATTCTCCATTCAAATACACATACGCCCGTTAAAATTAACTCGCGGAAAAAAAATAATCAACTCGCTCTTCTTCTTGTCTTCTTTTCTTCTTATGGTATGAAGTTTGCTTTGAGAAGGTTTACGTTCGTTAATTATAGCAATGGCCGACGAAAGCAATTTCGAAAAGTATCTTTAATGTTCAATCTAATTGTAATCTTATACGTAAGCTGCTGGTAGTTTTTGTGGAAATTTCAATGATAAAAGGTTCAAAGATCCTTGAAAACGATTAAAAACGTAACATTGTTCAATAAGTCAAGCATTTCAATTATATCGACTACTTAGAAATCCTTGAAAATGCTTTTCGAGCATCAAAAATACAAATCAATTATTACAGTCCATTTTCTTTGATTGCTCATCAAATACACAGGCGGAGTCAATGCGAAAGAAGTGCAAATTCATCTCGATCATCACTCGTATCGAATACACCACCCTCAGTGAGAAGAAGGAAACCTGAATTTTCCGCAAGCTCGGCTCGAGCGGCGAAATAATTAAGATACGAAAGTAAGCTCTGCTGCTTATCTGCCTCTTCTTTTCCCGAGGAGGTTCACACGCGGCCCAGAAAAAGATTGGAAGTTCCGACTTTTGCGGTGGGAGAATGAGGTCTGGAATACAAATGAGTTCGTCTCACATTCTACCTCTCTCCTTAAGCGAAAATACATGTGATTTTGATGATGGCGCAGCAGTATAATTTCCGCTCGATTTGCACTATTTCGCTATTGCGTGGGATTTCCGTTGTATAACTTTTGCTTTGCCATATGCTCGTTGTGCTTAACGGGCTTCGTTACAATGGATCATTCTTTGCGGGCTTCTAATTTCACGAATGTAATTTCCATTGTTCCTCGTGCTGCTTCAGTTCATTAAGTTGAGTGTTCTTCGAACCAAAAGAACATCAGCTATTCCATTGCAAGTTTGCAAGTTGACATTAAGCATATAATAAATTTTTATTGTGTGTGTGTTTTTTTTAATAAATACGCGAGTAACAAAAATGAATGCTTAATTATTGTAATTAAATATGAAAAAAATAAATGGTCATAGTTGAATCAATTTTAATTATCTCATCAAATTATACGTTAATTCAAAGTAGAAAATCGATCGTCGTGTTGCAACGAGGTGATTACGCAGTTGCTGCGATCCATGCATTAATGTTAATTACAATTCATAATTACAACAGCAAGTGTAATATAAACCCAAAATGAGCTCGGGCAGACGCTATTCGACTAGCCTAATAATCGAATTGATGGTGCACACATCATTTCTTTTTACTTTTTAACACGGTCGATAAACTTCATGCATAAATCATCAAGCATTTTAATATAATATTTTACAAGGATCGAGTGCACCGCATGACTCAATTAAATAGAATGAGGTATCGTTCCAACAATCTCATCCTGAAAATTAAGCCACGCCATCGTCTTCTAAAAAAAAGAGAGAGAGAGAGAGAGAATCGAGGTAATCCATTTTTCATCGCTAAAATGACGAGCGGGAGGATGAACTATCAGTTTTGACGCAAACGAAGGGAGGCTTTGGTAAACGAGTTAAAACGCGACGTTGCTGTTCCGCCATGTTTACGACTGTGATCACATATACGTCAGTGTCCGATCGCCAAATGCAATTGCAGCCCGCGATCGCTAAAGGCTTTCCTTCGCTCCGTTCGACTCTCCGAAGTCCTGGTTTTGTTTGATACCGCGCTCGTATATGGACTTCTGTTGATGTCGACGTTTAGGAGTTTCAATAATTCCCTTACGGGTTTTTCCAGTTTTGTATTCTTTCCCAATTAATCGAGATATGTTGTGTTGCGAACGTTTTATGTATACGTCAAGCGTGAACTTTTGCCCTGTGAATTAGGCTGATTGCTCGCTTGAATTTCGCGCTGTTGTATTTGAATTTCGGAGAAGGCTATGTACATAAAACTTAAGCTGTTTCGATTTTCTTTCTTTTTCTTCTTTTGACTTCGTTAATTGCGTGCTTTCGCGTGAATTACTTTCAAATGTGGGTCATAGTACTTCTTACAGCTCATTGAACTGCGTTGGTATGTAATTAATGTAATAAATATGGAATAATAATGCAGTCAATTTGAATGACGGTTAACGGAAATTGAATAGAGAACGTGTCTTTTGGCATGAGTGTTGTTTTATAGCGATGTATCAACAATTCGTTCTAGTTACAATTTCATCAAATCGACAGAGTCATATAGCAGATGTAGAGGACTGTGATAAGACTTTTCGTACCAGTTGCTGATGTTTTTCCTCGACAAGAACCCACAAATTTGCAGCAAAACGATTTAGAGGTTAGAACTTGAAAACAAACTTTTGAGGCTTGAATGATTGTTTATCAAAGAAAAAAAACGCAATACAACGTTTAGCGTGCAAATGAACATATTGTTTGTATTAAGACGTAGATTGATGTACCACTCGTAAAAGAAAAGTTTTTTCCGCAAGGGGCTTCTATCGTCTCGCCCGATGTATCAGTAGTGCAGCTACGAATCAAGTCAACCATTGCCGCCGCGTCATATCCTTTATTTTGCGACACAAAGCAACATCTTTCCATCGAAATTACTTAACAAATATGACCGTGATGTGTTAATGATGAAATCTTATTTTTTAAAGTTAAAAAATAAGCAGCGAATTCCGCAAATGTCGCAGTCATTTCGTTCTATTTAGATGGATGGTAGTGGTGGTGGTGGTTGACCTGTACAGCCGCGGTTCACTCGGTGACCTAGTAACCCCGCAATGTCGCGTTCGTCTGAGCATGAGTGCATATCGTAAAGGACTACGTACCCCTGCTACTTTTGCTTTTCCTTGTTCTTGGC